TGACAGCTTGGACCGACCGCAGCATACGCAAGAAAGAGTTATGGAAAATATGGATTAGATCGGGTGAGAAAGGCGAGAAATCCCCAAAGGAGTGCGGGGACTTAACTGTTATTAAGAATTCAAGGTTAAGGTGTGGTCTTCACGCAATCACAGCAATGAAGGCAAAGTGTTGATCAAAGCAGAGGATGATGAAGACTGTGGGAGTCAAGGCTGCATTCATGCTAGTTAATGTCCCCTCCTATAAGGATGTAAGAATGAAGGGAGTCCAGCCAAGGGGATTAGTCACATAGAGAAGAAACCATGAAAACTATCAGCGTTAACTATCAGCAGCTAATGGCGAGGTAAAAGTGCAGATGGCGAGGCTTGCAACACTCCAGTTAACAAACAAAAGAACTGACGCTGTGTACATTTTTTGTTAACAGACACTCACACACAGCCGCAGTGGAGCATCACTGTTCCATTCAGCTCTTTTAATTACCTGTGTATGTGATTTAATCCTTCATATGTCTCAGCCCATTCCTCCTAATGAACTGCTCCATTCAGCTCTTGACAATACACATTCCGCTTGCATGGTTTTGTTGTTGTTTCTTTTACAGCAAGTTATACATAGAAGTGTTGTACTACTTAGCATTTCTAGATTTCCCCAGTCTTTATAAAAACACAAGCACTTGCCAATGAGAAATACGAATGTTTGCCAAATAACAAGTCAAATCTCCTTGTGATCGCAACATAATCAGCCTTTTCAACATGCATGTGACAAAACACTGTGCAGCATTGTTATACAGTGTTGAAGCAGCCTGCAGTGTAAATGTTATTAATATTACTGCCTTATTAGCCTGGTTTTATGTTCTACAGGGGTAAACTATGCACATATATGTGTGCCTGTGTGTGTGTGTGCGCGTGAGACAAAGAGACTCAAACAGGCCCAAGCCATTTTAGCCTTTCGACAAAAAAATACCAAAAATACAGCACTGTAATTACATTGCATGAATAACTAATAGAATACAGAGAATAAAAGCAGATTTTCAAAACATGAATGTGACTGAATATGAAAAGGTCTGTGTCAGATTCCTATAAAAGACGTTTATTTTTAACACTCTGTCTCTCTCTTTCCATCACCCTGATATGTGGCTGATTTGCAAATTTGGGAAGATTTATTTATCCTACTGCAACACTGCCGTGAAAAATGAAATGGGAAAACGTCAGAGTCTAGAAACAATTTAAGAAATTGCATAATTTTGATCCTTTTATCTGAAAAAAAAAACATTTCTGGCCATGTTACAATCAAGCTTGTTTGCACACAAAACAGAAAAGAGGACTTTTAGGAGGAAAGGTCTTATCTGCCAACCATGTGTCATTCTCCTCATCATCTTGGAAGATTTAAAGCTGATTTGTAAGCATTAATGTTTTCTACAGCTAGACAACCAAATAAAAAAAAAGCCCAGAGAGACAGCTCATCACATCATGAGAAAAATCCAACAGCTTTGAGAGCTTTATTTTCCCAAAGTAGAATAAGCTTACATATTGGTATATTAGGCTATTATGGGAATTTTGTTTAAAAAAAAATCAATAAGCATTTAACTTCCTCAAACCTCATTAAGATGTAAACTTAACTTAGAGTCACATACAAATATGCAGCCCAATGCCAGTATGGAGCAACTCCAGGTTTCGGACTCTAGAAGTCATCACAGATTGGTTCAGGCTGTTGGGATTTGGGAGATTCATCCTCACAAGTATTGACTGAATTGCCTAAAGGTCGTGGGAGTGTCGCTCATTCCGTTTTGAAGAAAAACCGTTTCCCTGAATGCACTGATATCTAACTTTTGATCGCAATGTCAAACACCGTTTAGGCTACCTTGCGCCTTTAAATATGCTTGAGCAATAACAAAAAGGCAGAAGCAGCGTAGCGCAGAGGATTGTGATGTTTTGGGAAATGGGAGCTTTCCCCAGAACACCCAGACTCAGTCCTCCTAAATACGCAACATATTAGCAAAAAAAAAAAAAAAACTTAATAGACTCATAAAGTTATTAAATAATGTGTTTTTATCTTCAGCCTTGGGGACTAACATTGTCCCGTTCAGAAAGTCATGGGAAGCAGCGTTAAGCAGATAAACGCAGCAGCGTGTTGGAGAAAGGGGGCACAAAGTTGGCATCTCCACCAGACTCGCTCTGCTTTTGCTTTTAGCGGAGTTTCATTCACATGTTAAAACTTCCCAACTGCGTTTAAGGAGATCGACATGAATATGTGACTTACCTGTTGGCCCCTCAATGCCATCGGCGTAGATCTGAACAGCCAAAATCAACAGAAAGGCGCAGGTGTTCATCGTGTAGCTGTTTTAGTCCACTTTAAATGTGCAGGAGAAATCATTTCATTCACTCCGTGAGGTCCGGGCGCGCAAGTAATAGAGCCGAGCCTATCTACTCCCACAATTCTCACTGAGTGGAGTTTCAGAGACAGTGAGGAGACAGGGCAGAGCTAGTCCTGCAAACTGACGTCAGGGTAAACAGTTCAGGGAAGAGATTTCTTTCTCAAGCCCACTTTCCTTCCCAGCCTCCACTACTCTGCTGACACAAAGTATGAGCCGGGCGCCTCCAAGCGGCCGAGTCCGGCAACGGCACTGTGGTATTCAAACGTCTGCCAAGCAAAAAAAACCCAGACTGTGTGTTTGTGTGCTGCTGTACTTGCACCTTTGTGGGGACCAGTAAGAGTTTCAGATGTTCAGAGTGTGGACATTTCTGGAAAGTGTGGATATGTGAACTCTTTGCTTCTTCAAAGTGTCGTTTGAGGTTTAAAACCGGATTTTAAGGTGAGGATCCGAATTAGATTTAGAGTCTGGGGCTGGGATTTGGGTTAGGCTTGTAGTTGGGATGGTTAAGGTCAAGGTCCTTGCAAGTATTGAAGCATAAAGGTGTGTGTGTGTGTGTGCTTGTATTAATCACACAGGGACAAAAAGTCTATTCACACACATTATCGGGTCTTATCCTCAATTTTGTTCATCCCCGCAATACATTTAAGAATTAAGACTTGGTGTTTGTTAAGGTCAGAGTAAGAGTTGGGGTGAGGCATGTAGTCATAAGGGGAATAAATGTAACTCAATGCAATGTCCCTCTAAGTGATTAAAAACAAGCATCCATGTGTGTTGGTGTGCATGTGCAGAGACAAGGACAAGGTGCTGATCTCTTTCTCTGTTTTTACATCAATTTGGCTTAATTTTAATGAGACGTTACTTAATCTTCACTGCCCAGCAGCTCCTAGCAGCTGTCACCATGCACCCAGCAGCATAAGTACGGGATTATCACTCTGACAACAACAGGCAGAGAAAATACTCATTACGTGGCTTTGTTTTAAAAGTAACACATGTAATTTCTTGTTTCTGCATTAAACAGTATTATAGTCATTCTCTTGTTTTAAAATCACCTAACTGAAGTCTAATTATCCCAGCTATACACATAACCTTTCTCGTTTTAGCTGCTGTTTTACAGCTGAGGACAGCCGTATATTCACACATGACAGACAGGTAAGCATGCCTTCACACCTCCTGACAGGTGCGAAGGATTTATCTCCATAAATTATGTTGTGTGCATTGAGTTTGTGACTGATGATCTTAAATTTTCTTCTATACCAACAGCTGGCCATGTTTGTTGAAGAATACCTGGCAGAAATCACTCTTGGATTTCATTTACACTTTTAATTTAAATTTACATGTAAACACCTTCATGTAGAAAAGCCACTGTGACTTTAACATAGCACGATATACAATATATACGATATATATATACAGTGTTTGATTATGAGTTGTTGGACACTGGTCACACGCTGCAAGGTGTCTTCTCATATATCATTACAACACTACCCAGGCCCCGAGATTCACCTTTGAAATCAAACATCTTGCACAAGTGCTGATGCTGCAGCCACTGCTCTGCATGACCCAAGCTGGTGTTAAAACATTGCTGGGCTCACACGTTTAGCTTTGGCTCCAGGAATCCCAATTGGACCATGATGCCATTATGCAGGTTATTCATCATTCATTTTGTTGTCAAGTGTGAACATTAAAGCTGGGGATTAAATTAAAGAGGGCCAACAAACGCATCTAAGGCTTCCAACATGAGTGCATATCTCAGCCTCTAATGTTGTTAGCCCTGGATGACAGATGAACGATGGATTGCTCAGCAAATTACTTAATTTAACCAAAGGAGCACAGCGTATGTCAAGCTAACACCTGTAATTACACCTGCTTGATGCATGGCAGCCATTTTGCACCCTGGTATTCAAGGCACAGAGTAGCAATTTATTTAAACTAGGGAGTATTTTGGCCTGAATCTGTTCAACTGCATGATAGTTTAATTTGCAGTAAACCGAACAGGATGTCGCAAAATACTGTTCAAATCCAATATGCTGACAGCTGCACCATGATGAAAGTCTCTGATTTTTTATCAGCTGCCACTCATGATCCCTCGCAAACAGCTACATCTGCACAGGCAGTGTTGTGCATAGATTTATAATAACATATCATTACAGTTCTGAGAGAAGTTGTCAAAGGCTGGCTATCAAAGTATTACTGTCTATCACATGGCCTTGGCATGCAAAAAGGTGCTTCAAAAGTAAAAGAACAGAAAACACGGGGCAGAAAGCGGCTGCTACGCTGCTGTCTGTGAGGTAAAACTGAGGTGCCATACACCAAACAGTGATATCAGAAAAATCAATTTCATTTGTCTGTCAAATGGAAAATGAGTGTTTGACATTAGTGACTGCTGTGTGACCACAAGTCTGACAATCCTGTGAGGTGAAACCACAGAGCAGCCATTTTCTCCCGTGTGATTTTCTGTTGGATTACCAATTGACTTCTGTTTTTATAAATGGAACTGAAGTAAAGTATTCACAACGGACCTACACTGTAAGGAGGGTTAATGAAACATCTTAGATTAACACCAACACAGTATAAAAATAAAAATAAACTTCAAAGAATACATATATTGTCTTCCTGCAGTAAGTCCAGCATTTTACAATTCTCATCAACAATGGTGAAGTTAGCTCTTTAACACAGGCTTCTGTTAAAATATGAAACAAAGTATTTTATTTAAATGTGTTCATTGTCTTACATGATCATATCGGACCATCAGCGTCATTTTCAGTCATTTTCATCATACTCTCATGTGCATAACATCTTTTTCTCTTTTATATTTTTTCTATGATAAAGGGGAGTAAATTAACAAGATTGGTAAACAGTACCCGGTTTAAAGCAATAGCACGTCAACAGTCACAATACTTACTAAAGTTTACTAATAGTTTTCACTGTCAAAAATTAGGAATAATCTATTCTTCAGACAGTGTCTGGTGCATAGATCTTAGGCAGGTTTTAGGCATAATAACAAGGGCCTAAATACAAGCCTGAGTGAGATATACTGTATTTCACAAAATCAAAATTATATAAAATTCACCACACAAGGTTAACTCACAAAATATGGATTTTCAATTATAAATAGTATCAGAAATTATTTATAAAAGTATGAGGAAATATTTGTCACAAATACCTGAAAAAGGTGCCAAATATTTTTAGATACGGTAAATATTATTTACATTGACATGTGAAAGGCATCTTAAAAATGTAGAAATACTTACTGTCACACATATATGTTTCTAATTCTTTAGAATGTTTCAGGGCAGCAACAATTACTTTCATTATCAATTAAACTTCAAATAATCAATTTATAATTTCTGGCCTATAAAATGTAAAATAAAATTGTAAAAAATGCTCATTGCAATTCCCCAGAGCCCAAAGTGACATTTTCCTGTTATAAAATATTGCAAATTTTGTTTGACCAACAGTCAAAAACCCAATGGTAAGAATAGGAAAACCAGTGAATATTCACATTTGAATAAGAACATTTTGCTTAGAAAAATTACTTAAATGATTATTATCATTTATCAAAATTGCTGCCAATTAATGTTTTGTCAGTGGACCAATCAGTGAATCAACTAATCATTTCAGCTTTACTGTGTTGTGAGTTGATAAAAATAAAAAGAATGAACCAAAATGCTCTTCTTGAATGTGTCTTTTACAAACAACTCAATGCAAGAACAAATGTGCGCTTGTAACACTGCAAACAACTGAAGTAACCACAACATATATGAGAATACAAAATGTTTTTGTTTTTTAATTCCCCTTTTAGTCCCTTTGGGATTATCTTTCTCCCTCACTTACTTTTATGTTTCTTTAATGCCTTTCTTCCTATAATCACCTTTTCAATGCCATGCAAGCCTTCTGTCTCCTCATTTCTACGGTGAGGGTCTTCTTGAAACTTAACAGTCCTTTGTCCATGCTCTTTGTGGATCCCTGAGGTGTCCTCTGTCTTCACACCCTCCTGTCTGGGCCTGTGGAGCTTCTCCTGAGTTTCTATCTCACTGATGTCACGCTCCCTCTCCAGAGTGGCACCATGGCCGTCTCTGTCCATCTTGCCAGCCTCCGCAGGGTGACGCTGTCCAGTGGAGGCAGAGAAATGGCTAAAGAGCTGAGGTTTGATGGTGATCTGAGCGTAAGATGCAGGTGATAAACCGGTAAAGGAGAAAGGCTGGATCGGTGGGCCCAATTTGACGGGGGACAGCAAGTTGTGGCTGTTTGAGGGGTTGTGACGCTGATTGCGGAGGTGTTTCGAGGATTTCATTTTGGAGGAGGTGCTTTTATCACGATCCTGCTTCCTCTGGTCTTCCAAAATCTCATCCAACGCTAAGAAAAAAACAGGATATTAGTTCATACAATCAGCTGGGGTATCACTGTATGTACTGTATGTTGCCTTCAACAGTTTTCTCACCACAAACATTGTTATGTATTTTGTTCTCTTCATCCTGGCTGCACTTCAGGACCAGAGCTTGCTTTACTGAGTCTAAAAGCCCAAACATCTTACACAGGGAATTAAGTATGACGGCATCTGAGAAAACAAAAATATCAAAAGTCAGCTTGTCCACATAAAATCACTTTTTTAAAAATCAATGCCCATTCATTTCCTTTTGGCAGAGTAATATTACAAGTCATTTTTAAAAATGTATTTACTTTTTTTTTTTTTACTTGAATGACATTTGACTAAGTTTAAATCAATTATTTTCACAGTCATGGGGTTAGCTGGGTACCACTGTGGGAACTCACCTGTCTCCTGCAGGTTGGCGTTCTCACTGCGAACCTCCACTCCTTTAAGAGTAGCTGATATTTCAGTCTGGAGACTGGACAGGACCTCCCCCATCAGCCCTGAGTCTGCTACTCCCTTCCACAGGCTCAACACGTCATCTAGAGAAGGTCAATTAGGTAGGATATTATATATGGGGAAACTGTGTGGTGCATGTGTGTGTTTGTTTATCTTTTTATTTAAATATGTGAAAGTGCCACAGAGAAATGAGAGAAAGTGGTATATGTGTGATAATGGTAAAGTGATTTGAGTATTTGTGAGAAAGTATGAATTCCTATGCAAGCTGTGGAGTTGGACTCAATGGGAAGAAAAGGCAGAGCAAAATAAATAAGAAATGTGGGATAAATGAGATGGAGTATTGAGGCAGGGAAATGTCTGGAAGTGAGCTCTGGGCAGAGTTTAGGGGTTGAAAGAGAGTAATAAATTGAGGAGGGAAATATAGGAAGAAGTGTCAGGGTTGGAGAAACAATGAAAAAAAGATATAACGAGATAGAGGAAATGGGAGAGGTGCCGCACTTGGCAAGTGGATGTTAAATGGGTGATGGAGGTAGAGAGGAAAGAGTAAGGAAAATGGGTTAGAAAAGAGGCGCTCTAGGAGGAGAGAAAGGAGGACAGGGCAGACTGGAGGGGGACTGAAAAATTACTTGGGATCTGTACAAAACTGCGCAGAAAAGAAGTTAAGTATATTAGAGTGATAAAATGTTAGAAATGCTTGATATCTTATCTTGCGAGAAATGCGTCCACTTTCACATTTGCTTAAATGTCTGTCAAGATAAATGCAATGTGCCCACGGAAAATATTCCAAATCCCATTTACAGCTATCTGAAGCTAAATTCATGTATCTCACCATGTCGGGAATGTACACTAATGGAAAGAAACACATTTCTGGAGATAGAGGAGCGTAGCTATAGGCTGAGTACGTTCGCTGAGAGTTGTCAATTTGTTTTAAGACCTGTGACAAGCAATATTGCTTGTGCAGTGAGGCACTGCAATTTGCCATTCACACAAAAGATCACTTGAGGCTATGTTACCGACTCTAGTCCAGCTGGAACAATGCCTAATCAGGTCACCTTTAAAAGCCCTTAAATCAAAGCATAGGTCCCTGCAAGAAAAAGCCACACTTAGAAATGTCAGATGCCGTCAATGGTAATATAAAAGGACGTGACTTTGTACCTGCCAGTGGTCAGCAACATTTTAAAGCCAGTCTGCAGGAACATCCAGCAGATTCAGAGATTCATTGGCTCAATGCATCAGAGGTGTCAAGCAGCAGTGGCTGCAAGAGGCTTGACACAAGGGACTGACAGACTGCAGGTAGACTGATGTTAATGTTCACAGTTGTCATTATTCACCTGTTGTTCTGTTTATTATTCAGGCAATGATGGTTTAAGTCTAAATGTAGTATTAATTTTCCTCTTCAGCTAACATTTTCATCCATCAGTGATAGGACGTGGCTTACAAATGCGTGGCCTCTGGAGAACTTAAAGTCAGTGGGCTGAATCTGTGCCTAAACAAAACATATATCCATGTGGTGTCTCCTGTCAAAGCTACAATGGAGCACTGCAGGTGAGCAGTTTCCTGCTTTGTAGGATAATGTGCAAGGCCAGACCATCAGTAAATGAATGAAGCCTCTCTTAAGTCTTAATAATCAATACATTTGTCCAATCACCCAACCCTCTTCTGTGTCTTTTTCTCCATACCCACTTTTTTTTCATCCTGTTCAGGCTGTTTAACAAGCGCCTCTATAGTCTTTCTCATATCTACCAGGTGTGTCAGCCTTCTTCCTCTTTGCAGCATGTCCATTGGCTGTTGTGGGATTTACAGGCCGGGCTGGACCAGGGCTCCACTCTGCTGTTGCACTGAACTTCTCTTCCAAGAGTTCCTCTACCTCTGCTGCATCATGTACAACCTCACCTGAAATGAAAGTGCAAAGCAATATACTGTAAATAGAGCGCATAAACTTCTCATATTGCCATAGAACGTGAGTAGGCAGAGGGAAGACAAGGAAATCTGTCAGTTTTTTCCTAGATATTTCATAGATCATAGAAGATTTATGTGCAGTGGTTGCTTGGGAAGGAAAGTGGTGCATTATTAAAGGTATATGACTGTTCTTTGTGTTACATTTTCTAATTCATGTGTCAGAAATAGGGATGTAACACTACACTCAATGAGGATGTAACGATATACTCAACTCACGATTTGATACAATTCACAATACTGGGTTCACAATTGATTTATAATATGAAGTATAAAAAATATATTTAGTATAGTAAAGTATATTTTCTCATACATTTTCTGCATCAAATTATAAAATCGTTTTTTTTTTAAGTAGTAAATAGTGACCTCTGCTGTTTAAAAGGAGTATCACCATTTTACATCTCAGATTTGAATCTTCCCAGATTTGCAGATTTGTATCGCGATTTACCTCTCTCACGATACATCTTTGCGGCCCAAGTGAGAAGTAACTATTCTTGTTTCGTTCTTGCTGATAAATTATATCCAGGTGGCTTCAAAAGTTTTTATCTGCATCAGTACATCAGGCCCCAGCATATGTGGGAGAAAAAACATCAAACCGTAAATGCCAACTGAAATCTACCTGTCAGGGGAGGCACCTGTCCTCCGAGAGGGTCGAGTGCCAGACATGACGGGCTCTGCTGCACTAAGGTCCCCGGGGGAAGCCGTGTGCTGTTGATCAGCACATCAAATTTAGTGCTGCGGCAGGTGTTGCTGCACACTGTGTCATGCTGGTAGAAATCTATCTGGCCGGAGTCCATCATTTTTCTACGTGAGGAGAAGCAGGTTTAAAAGAACATCACAGAGTACCCAAGAAAATATTTGTGTTACACAGCTGCAGAGGGGGTTTAAAGTATGGATTTAATCAATCCCAATAGCTTCCCAGAGGTTTGCTTGACACAAAGCCCATTGATCTGACCTCTAAAGGAATAAAGATGAAAAGAGCAGATATTGCCTATTGGGCTGGTATATTGACTCACTGTAACACTAAGAACAAGTGCAAACACGATAAAGGGGTGAGAAGTATCACTCAGCAGCTTGCTTGCGTGTTATTTGATCCTGCTATCATAATAACGCTGCTTACCGACTACCTCTGGAATGTACTGGCAAACCCCAACACAGACAGGCTCCACACAAGTGCATATTATATGAATGACATATGACTGCAGTAGATTGAGGTGTTTAACGTCTGACACTTTAACGTCAACACAACAAAGTAATCTGAAGGACTTTAGATTTACAGTTAGCATGCATGTGTCTCCACAGCAGCTTTGAGGAAGAGGACAGACAGACAAATTGTGTTTTTCTTTAATTTAGGTCTACCTGAGCATTACCCCTCCCAGTCTGATGGCCCTCTTCCAGTCCTTCAGAGTGGCTTTCCCTGCCAGATGTACAAACTGCTTAGGACTGATGAGCTGGTCATTGAACTGTAAGAGAAGGAAGAAATATTCAGACGAGAATGTAAAACGAATATCGTGTCTGATTTTAAGAAAAAATAATTCTAACTGATAAATTCATAATTCACCTTTTGATTAGAACTTTGACACATCGGACATTGATCCCAGGGCACACAAACTTCTTAAAAAGCAGAACCGCCCTGCTGTCTCCACAGGTGATGGGGTAGCCATACTCGATCTCCTCTCCTTCTGCTTTACTGTCTTCTAAAGCCAAATACACAGTTGTTAAATATCAGTACAGCTTGAAATACACTGTGAATTGGATTCATTCGTGCACAGAATACCTTCATTGTATTAAGTAAGTTATTGATTTTATGTTCCTTTGTGTCTGACAAGTTTAATGTCAGCAGTGAATGGAAATATCTTTGTCACGTACCATGATGTGTCTCTATGGCCAAGACTGTAGTGCCAGTGTCAGCAATGTCGTCATTTACCCTGCAGAGGGCGACAGATTCTCACATTTAACACAATAATCATTTCATGTTAGCTGATAGTTGAATAGTTCTGAATTTTATCATCAGAGTGTGAATAGCTACTGCTGTCTAACCTTATTGAAAACAAAGTGTTTTTCCTTTTCTCCACATAGCTTACTGTTAGATTCTTTGACGTATAAGCCTGCATTAAACTGAATATGAATAGTAGTAATGTTGAATGATGTGGGCAGGGAAGAAGGTTTTATGTTATCAAGCTGAATATCTGCCTAAACATTTATACAAATCCTTCTGTACGTGTACGTTTGCTTCTCTATGTTGTCACACAGCAAATGCTAAACATCTATTTTGCCCTTTAGTGATATAATGATAAGCCATGTTACCCGTGCAGAATGGGCTGCAGGTGCAGGATGACTTGAGTCTTATGGTTGTTGCCACTGGACTCCCCTTCCTCTTCCTTCACCGTCATGAGATCCCCTGAAGACACAGTGACCTCAGCACCCGCCATCACCCCTCCCCACAAGAGCTGCACGCAGAGGGGGTCGAGCACGCATGTTAACATCCAGATCACACACACACGCATGCAGTGAGGCTATTTAATGCGTACACAAGTCAATGAAAGCCTCCCCCATCAGTCTTTTCTGGCATGCAACTGTCATAGAAATGAATCCATACTGGGTTTAAAGTGACATAATCCTCACATAGGCAGGCCTTGTTTTCCATACTGCTGTTGAGAATGCACAATCCTAGATGATGGGACATGAGCTTAAGGTTTTAACTAGAACCTGGGTTATAAGGCCTAAACTGTAAAAAAAAAAAAAATAAATAAATAAAAATAAATGATGCCGTTATATGACATCAACAGTGGACTCAACAGGTGAAATGTATTAATCTATTTAGAGAGAAACTCTCAGTCAGATCAGTACTGCGTTATGCAACCTTGTTGCATTTAGGTCTCCACTTTTTCCACAAATATGACACCAATAAAAGACCTGTTTCAATCTGCATCAGTGTCACCAAGTCTTATTAAGCAAATTCCAGTTGATATTAGTTTCCAGAGACAGTCATTTATATAGGCCTTAAGTATTAGTAGGCTATCCTATACAATTCCTGAAAAGCTTACAGTTAAACTATGAAGTATAAGGTCCTGGCATGTCCTTAATTACTGACAATATAGTGCTGACAAACATACATCATCATAAACACATGTTATAGGGGTCAAATGTGAATAAACTGTCCACTGGACTACTATCTATGGTCATAGCAATCAGGGGGACAAAGCAATGCAAATTCCCACCTGGTAAATAGTTACAGAACAATACATAATACATGCTCACTGCATTAATTCTAGTGTGGTCTTGTCCACAATATTCTTTCCTGCACTATCAGCAGCTGAGGCGTTAGATACACTGGGCGACAATATAAATAGCAGAGAGAGAAATGGAGGAGAAATTAATTCACAAACTGTTAGGATTATTCCATGGTGGAGAAACAAAACAGGCAACCTTTCCATGCAGTGAAAAGCAGCCTACAATAAACTGATCAACATATTCCAACACTATATCAAGAGCCCCTTTGGTGGATCACCAACTCCTACACCGACAGTTGCGTGTCTTCCTCACCCTCCTTCACCCACTCAAACTGACGTCTGTTGGTGCGGCAGCACGCACACCCCGGCCAACAACGGTGCGACGGCGCGCGCTCCTCTTCCACAGAGGGTGCCCAAAAGACCACAGGGTCGAAACCAAAGCTCAAACACACGACCTGCTACTTTAAAGAATACTGTCATAGTTTTACCTACCGTTTTTACAGCAGGGGATAATTCATCCTCCGTTTGTCGGAGAGGCAGAAGAGCATGCGCCGTGCTGCTTCGTTACACTTCCTGCAGTGAACGCAGCATTTGCCTGAGAAGCATCTGTCCCGCTGTCACGAGAAGCGGTTAGTTCGCACGCGATGCGTAAATCGGTCAAAGTGCTCTTATGTGCGAGTGCACGGCTTTGTTTCAGCACCTCTGAGCCACGGCACTGCATATGTAGGAGCATTTCAACCTTTACAAACACCTTTACACCACAAAGGAAGTCGTGAAAATGTTTATTTGCCCTCCTGGTACGTTTAAGATTCAGCAGCTCTACCCTTTTTTGTCAGTTGCCACTTGTGTGGCCCAATTGTGTTGGTTGTCATGCAGTAAACGATGTTCTCAACAGTTAGCGTGTTGTATTGTTGTCGTTGCCTGTGTTTCACCAGAAGATGGCAGGGTTTGCACTTTCTTTGAGGACAGAAATGTGGTGTTTATTGGTCACACAGAAAATGTGTTTGCAAATGTTGTTCTTCACCATATTGACGTTTGAACGCCTCATTTCACCCTTTGAGTTTATAAAATGGCCTCCATAAAGGAACATGACAGTCTGAGATCCAGGTTCAGTGTTGACATATTAGCAAACGAGAGTAAATTAGTATTACTGTTAACTGCTGGTCTCAGATCAGCGCACACCTACAAGTCCGCCCTCCCCTATTTGGGAATGGAATGCCTGGGGTTGTTTGATTGACACCGACGGAGAGCCAATGAGAGGTCGAGTTTACGTCTCGTGGCCAATAGTAAACAGTCAGTACTTTGTACTAGAACTTTTCACTGAAGCCAGACTCGAGACATCGGGGCTTGCACCTTACTTTTTTCCACACAGAGCTCTGGAAATCATGCTTGCAAAGTACGAAAACATCCGAGATGCTGTGAAGTCTCTTATTACCGGTTTCTGGATCACTTTTAGCGTCTGTTCCGTAGGTGTTCACGGCCAGGAGGGTAAGAAAAAGCCTCTTTTATTGACGCTAAAGATAAGATAAAGAATGTGACGCGAGAGTTTATTTCAAATATCTTAGCCTGCTGCTACTACTCCTGGTTACGAACAGTTTATTTTAACTTAATGGTATGGTTTTGTATGTAGTAACATGGTCCTACAGCATATACCAATACAGAAGTCTCTAAAAACATCATTTGCATCCTACCTAAGTTAGAGTCATGCAGCATACAAACGCCCTGCTATCGTTTTATACATTTTAAATGAGCAGCTATTAATTATTAATTAAACGGGTTTTGCCATTACTCTGTAATACTCTGTAATGTACACGCCCAGAAGGTTTTGATATGCTTCTACTTTTATGATATGAACCACAATAAAGTTATATTAGACAAACATTGCAGACATTACATTACATTACACATACTGGATCTGTTCTTTCTGTCAGTGACAAATGACAGTATTTCCAAATGAAGTAGCTGCAAAGGTCGTCCCTGTGTGTCATTGTAGCATTCTTTACATACTCTTCCCCTGTGTGTGTTTACCTGATCCCAGCTAGCAGCTTACCTTTGCCACAGGTTGTTCTGTTTTTTTTCCAGAACAGCAGTGAGGTCCATGTGCAGTATGAATCATAGTGAACATATATACACAGACAAATAGAAAAACAATGTTCTGCCCCACAGACTCTGACTGTAACACATAAATCTTTTTTTGTTGCTGTTTTTGTCCGTCTCTGGGGCTTTGGTTTCCTCACATCGGAAGATGATTAAGTCCAGGGTCAATTACTTATTCTGAATCACACTGTATGCAAAGGGGCTTTTTGCGGGGGCCAGTGTATGGGGAGGGGGGGGGGGGG